CTTCAGGTCCGGTGAAAATTCCAACTCCATCACCTTTAATTGCACCAACAAACAATGGAGTATCTCGAGATACAATTTATCCTCCCGTATATATCCCAACAAATCCCCCATCATCATCGTCATCTGTATGTTCTTCAACTAAATCATTACGTCTACCAGATCCATACGATTGTTCAATCTATCATGATTGTTATCAAGGTACTGATCTTATATCATATTGTCCAGCACAATTACAATATAATCCTGAAAAACAAAAATGTGATCATCCGCATAATGTTCAATGTAAGAAAATAATTTTCTATAGAAAAAAAAAACAAAATCTATTGAAATAGGTAAAAATAAATGTACAATGAAAAATGAAGGTGCTCGCTTTGTTGATCCAATGAGTTGTTGTCATTTTTATGAATGTATGTCAAATAAATTAGTTTCACATACATGTTCCTATCCGAATTTATTTGATATACAAACTCGTAAATGTTTACTATATAAAAAAGTTAAATGTGCTGGACGACGACAATGTTTAAATAAATGTAATTCGAAAAAAATAAAATTTTTTTAATTAATATTTCAAATTTTTAGGTCATTATTTATCTAATCATGATAATGGAAAAAATTCATGTGAATCTAGTCCATCATGTATAGGTCATAGCGATGGATTTTATCTTGATCGAACAAAAGCAAATTGTCAATCTTATATACAATGTTTAGATTATCGTGTAGCTAATTATAGTCGTTGTACACATGGTCAACGTTTTAATAGAAATTTAGGTAAATGTACAACTGCTGATCAAGTACCCTGTCCTGGTAAGTAATTTATACGATAAAATTCAATTAATTTGTCAGATGACAACTTTAAATAGCAACGATAGTTTATCAGCTAAACGATATATTATGATTATAGAAATCAATAGATAAGTATTATCGTTTATTGTTAATTCCGTCAAGGAAAAAAAGCTAATCAGGCAATATTTTATATTTCGATTAATGTGTATTTGCATCATTGATTCCTTTCTTTATCATTCAGCTGATAGACGTATGTATATGATAAAAATTATCGAGTATAAAGAAAAAGCGAAATTAGCAACGTGACGTCTTTGTAAATGAATTTATTACTTTATTTAGCATCATCATCGTCATCAATTCGATTCTCGTTATCTATATATCTTCTTCTGATCACTTCAACAACTATGATTCTGTGAGAAACAAAAATGACGAAATATAAACTTTGTATTTTTTTGTTTTAATACTACTAATCCTGCTACTAATTTTATTTTAGTTAAAATGATCTTAAAAAAAGAGAGAAAAAAAAAACATTGAAGTCAACAGTTTTTTTTAATTATTTCCTTCTTCTTAAGTTGATGGATTATCATTTAAATCAGCTTCAGCTTCAGCTTCAGCTTCTTCTTCTGATGATTTTTTGTATATCAGCTAACGTTATTTTATCGTCACAATCATGTTCAAATTCATCTGTTAATTTTGTATTGTTTGCGATAAATTGAAGTATATCCATATTTTTCTTTCTATCAGATAAACTAACATAATCAGTAAAATCATGTTTAATATATAATTGATTATTTTTTTCAAAACATATTTTACTATCATCGTAAAAACCAATAAGTTTTGTTTGTTCATGATTATTTTCACAATATAATTTCGATCCTTTTGTAATCTTATATGCCGATTGTTGTTCATCATCATCATTGTTATTATTAGTTGTTTGATTTAATAGATGTTCAACATATTTTTTATTATGACGATTTATACGAATACAATTTTTCTTATATTTTAATGGTTGACTACACATTTTTTTCGTTTGCGTACGATACCATGACCATGCCCGACGATGTTGACGAGTAGTTGGTTTATAATCAGTTAGATCTAATTCGTAAGATTGAAAAACAGACACACCATGACCTTGAGAAATTTTTATTGGTTCAGTTAATTCAATATCAGATTGTTCTTCAGCAATTACTTCTATTGTTGTTTTTTTAGTTTTTCGTCCTATAATTAAAAAATAGATTTTCAGATGAAGTATTAAAAATATTCTTATTACGTTTTTTTGATTCAAATTTAGCTAATATAATATGACATTTATCTAAATTAATATTATTATTATTATCTGGTGTTAAACATAAAAGATTATTTTTAAGTATATCTTCATCCAATGGTTTTTCTAATTCAATAAGTATTTTATCACCAAGTTTTGTTGATGTTTCAACTTTTAAACGACGTATAACTTTATTTAAATAATTTCTTGGTTTTTCATTTAAATCTATTGGTTGACAACGTTTATTTACTTGAATTAAACTACGTGTAAGTGGTTTTGCCCAACAGAAATCTCTATTTATTTGCACAAGACAACAATGTTCATCATCACCATCATATGTAAAAACATTATAAGCAGATTCAGTTGTTAATATAAATACTATTAAGAAAATTCCAATAGAATATACCGATAATAACATAGTCATTATAAAACTATATAATAAGCAAAAAAAACGTCTACGAATCGTGATGAATATTATATACTATTAAGTTTTGTTCTAGTTAGGTTTGCCTTTTTTTTCCCCGCATGCTCATACATCCGTGACCGCAAATGTATCGTGTCAATGACTGTG